CACGATTTTTCGTTGCGAAATTGCCCGTTGACGCGTAAATAAATAACCGTACGCATTTCGAGATTTATCAGCCGTACGAGCGTATAAGCGTCGCGTAAAACGTACACGTTTTACACGTTCTTCACGAAATCACGACGACGTCGTCAAACACACGGTTACCGAACCGATAACTATCCGTCGAACTGTTGTCAGTTCTGCGGTAATTAGATAGCGGCGTTTAACCTCAAAGTATCTCGCGGACCACACCCTAACCGTTAGATTGCGATTTCACCATCCGGTAAAAACCTAATTCAATTTCCACGCGACTCGGGCGGTAATATTGTATTATAATATTGCGCGGCGGACCGAATCATTTTGAACGCCGCAACGATGCGTTTTAAAATTTAAAACAACTAACTCCATGTACTCCAGGCTCGGACTTCGAACGCAACACTCATGGAATTTACACTGTCCGTTAATCCTGGTACGGGCGTATTGAATTTGAAAACCGTTCGGCACGCAACGGGGATACGCAATCCGTCCGGATGGCCGTGATTTTACAAGGCCCACAGACCGGTATCGGACGGACGAAACCGTTTCTCGGGCGCGAACCAGTGGCGCGACTCGGCGGAGGTTCGTTTTGAATAGCGCGATTCGAAAAAAAAAAAAAAAAAAAAAAACTGGCGGTTGGGTCGAGTCGCGGGTTCCTGCAGAAACGCGACGAATAAACGATCGTGTTTCTGCGAAACATAAGCGAATCGAAAAATTTCGGACCGCGAACATTCGACGAGTCCGACGAATCCGATTGAAACTTAACCGTTTTTTTTTTTTTCCAACCACGGCGACGGGATGTTTTCGGGACGTCCGACGGGTGGGTAAACCGAATCGGCGATTCGAGGTGAAAAGACATTCGGAACCGCCGCCGGGCGCCGTACGCGGAGTCCTCGCGCGGGATCTTCTGTCGCGTCCGTGCGCGCGCCCGAGAGGAAACGGATTTACCGGCGGCGTCGGCGTATCCGGACGGACGAGGGGACGTACCGGTGTTATTTACACGTAAATATTGTGTTATGTGCCCGCGCGCGAGTTCGGTATTCAAATGACGCGATATCCGGCGTACGTCCGTAATGTCATTGCGATCGACGATCGCGTCCGGGAATAAAACGTTTATCGGCGGCCGGGGAGGGGGGAGGGGGGAGAACAAGATCGATCGATATTATGCGTAGGCGTACCGCGTCTACGACAATCGTATTGTACGGGCGTTTCGAAAACCTTCGACGGAAACCCGTGAATAACGTTTGCGGTCGTCCGCAAACGAAGGGCGGAAAAACGGTTTTTTTTTTTTTTTTTTTTTTTTTTTGTTTTTTCAAGATATAAATCGCATATTTCGTACGCGGTTTCGAAACCCGATACCCGTAACGCAACCGGGAATAATATTGAAGGCGCGCACCTCGTGTCGTGTACACGACACACGCAACGTTAATGTGCATACGTTAATACACGTTTATATTTTCCGTAGAATTTTTCTCGACAAATTTTACGCATGCAATTGAAATTCCGTCCGTCGGTCCGTCATCTCGATCGAATTTTCGCCATCATTCGACATTCGAAACGATACGAACATCGCCCGTGTACATTTTATCTTTAGAGTCCCGACGCGGAATATCAAAAAACATCACAAATTTGTAAGTTGAATAGAAATATCTGTGTTAAAACGATGGGATTTCACGGTGTCCGAGCGAAAAGAACAGTAATTTTTATTTAATTTGGATGTCGCAGTCAAGAACCTGTACTCTTTTCAATAGATTATTAACCGGCCATACGCGATAAGGATAAGATTAGAAGCACGTTGAATCGAATTTCTTTTACCGATCTGAAAGTATCGAGCCCGGAAAATACCAATCAATTAAGCCGGAATTAGACTTTTCTGTCGATTTTGGAAACTTTGTTCAGCTTCTTCCGGACCGAAAATTAAGCGAAATGAAGGAATTTCGCAGTACACATACGGCGTAAGTATATAGGATATGCCTTTTGGGAGTTTCAACATCGATCGCTCTCCTTCATAACGTTTATGCTCGAATTTCATGGTTTCACAGTAAAAACCGGGTTTCGAACAGAATAAAATCTAATAAGATCCCAACATTCGTAATTATTTTAACACATGTATGTGAATAAAAAAAAAAGAAATATTGTAACGACGACAAGTCACTTGGTGAAAAATCCGGCTCTAATGACGGGTGTTTTCCAAAAAACGTTCTCCGAAAATAAAGTCGATTGTCCCGTTTATGTGTTGTATACATTTATTTACATCGATTTCCCGCTATTTCTGGCCTTACTTTTAGCGGTTTGTTTCGGACCAAATGAAATTACAGGTATCCTATTGGTGGATCAAAGCGATAAACGTCGGTTAAAATTTCAATAAAGTTCCACCGTGTTGTTGCAGGTAAAGGGTGTGTTTTATAGCGAAATGAAGACGGTGGGATGACATTTTATATACACGCGACGGTTGTGTCAAAGACCTAAATTTTCGGCTCGTTTCACTTTTTTATGTTCAAATTTTACCATTCCGCTGGAAATGGTATGATAATAATATAATAATGTTAAAGTGATGGACAATTCGATTTTAGTGCTGGGTTGTGCTGTTAACGGGTGTTTTTTTTTTCGTAGTAAAAACCGTCCGGGGAAAATTTCACGGCATTACACCGTTGTGAAAACGTCAATTTATTTATTACTTATATAGTTTTTTTTTTTTTTTTTTATTACGAACGTTCGATTTACGTTCGGTTTAATGAAATCGTTAAGTCACCAACCCCGGTAGGTTGATTTCAACACACAATATTAAAGTCGTTATTAAAAGCTGATTTACTTATTTTTTCGTTACGCCGTTATCTGCGTGCGGTACACGTATTGACGTCGTGCGAAATCAGCGCCACGATCGGCAGTTATTTTCGGAGAGAAGGGTTACGAACTCCGAACAAATTTCGGGACAGGTTTTTGGCATGGCAAACTACTAAATGGGTGATGTAATCGATTTACAAGAATTGGCTGTAATTGTATTGCAAATGATTAAGTGGATTTCGTGAAAAAAGTATTGCATTTCGAGGGGAAAGTAACTCCTAGGAGACCTCTCATCCCGGTTTCGCCGCTGTGTTCGTAGATTTACGCGTGTTCTACCGGAATAGCCGAGAATAACCAATGAAACTACGTCCAGCGTCTACCCGGGAAAAAAAATACACATCTTAGTAATAACCTTAAAACTAAAACCCGAAAAAGTGCGTAGACTTTGCGAAACAATTAAGGGAATAAAATAACAATGGACACTTATTCGCTTATTTTTTCTCGTGGCCATCTTTTCCCCAGGATAGTTTTCAAAGATACAGTCTTGCGCGCTGTGGCGTGTAGAACGTTTTTTTTATTTTTTATTCTTGCGAGTTTCGACAATATTGTACACGCGAGTGTTTATCACTTTCGTGAACAAATCGGGACGAAATTGTTGTCGGTTACTACGTCAAACACATGTTCTACAGCCTCACACGTAGCTGGCCTGACGTACCGCAATTCGTGAAATCCGGAATTCACGAACGAATATATCGCCGCCGCACGGGGCGAGAGACGTTCTCTCGCAGGGACCCGGGTTATCGACAATCCGCATTTAAATAAACGGTTTAGTGATGCGATCGTGACAAATGGATCGGATGTCTCCCGTCTCTCCGGGCGTGACGCGCGGCACGTCGTATCGAATACGACCGACCCGATCGGTCATATGCAACGGAAAACGGAATTCTAAAAAAAACACATGCATTTGCATCCGGCGCGAAATGTGCGCACGAAATCGCGGGCGGGCGGGTGTTTTCGGTCGGAGTTTCCGTTTCGGATTTTCGAATCGAACGTTTGTTCGGACGGTACGAGGACCGGAACGCGAGAGAGTGGCTCGGCCGATTGCGCTTACACGCGTATGCTTCGCGCTGAATTCGAATTCGTGTTCTACGAGGACCGGTCGATGGAAAATCGGTCGAAATCGCTACAACTAGAAATCCGGCGACGCTGACACGGTATAAGCGAAAACCATCGGATAACAGAAACCACTAGAGAGTTAAACTGTTTTTCGTCTTTACGTTTCAATTTTCATTCGGTTTTTCGATGCGATTAAACGCGCGAGTTTTTCACGTATCGTAATAATAATGTACCGTGTGACGAAAATCGCACGCGTAAACGAAACAAGTAAATACGAGACGCACGCGATAGACGGTGGAAAATTAACAAACACCTAGTCAAAAGAACCGGCGTGACCGGCGGAACGGGAAATGACCGCCGACGCGCGGACCGCGAGCGCGGAAACGTGCGGACGCCAAGACATTTAACGGTACGCCACCGGTGAGCGGAGAGACGGCGGACTTTTCTGGACAACAATCGTGAGACGACGCAATCGGAATCGCTGATTTCCGGCGGATGAAGAGAATCCGAACTCCAAATACCGCCGACCGACAGACGACGAACCCGCGACGGGATTACCGCGCCGAGTCGGTCCGGGTTCCGGGCCGCAGCGGTTTTACCGACGGAAACGATGTCGGTTCGCCCAGAAAACACCGGTGGAGGGGGGCAGGGACAACAGGGCCTAACCGTCCGAGATTCCGCGAAAACGACCGGCGGCGGGCAAACGAAATCGGTGGTGTTGTTCGACAAAAGGCGCAACTAGTATTGCGAACCCAACCGGGTATTTTTTCCTCGAGATCCCGACCGCGTAATAACAGCGACGGCAAGGACGACGACAAAACGACAACGGAAACGAGGAGAAACGACGACGGCGACGACGGTAAAAGCACACGCGTTGAACGCGGTAAAATCGTACGTAAAAAAAAAAAAAAAAAAAAAAAAAAAAAAACGTACCGGCAATGATCAGGTAGACGATGAGCAGATTCGAGAGTATTCCCATGTCCCATTCAGCGGCGGCGGCGTCGGTTGCGGTGGCGCGCGCGACTCCTCGTCGTTTTCGTTCGGCGTAACCTATCAACAGGATGACGGGGTCAACAATGCGGTCGTTGCGTAGGCCGCTGCGTTGTTGCACGATAACCGTGGTTGTTGCTGATGTCCGTCGTCGTGTTGCCGCTGACGGTGGCCGTGGCCGGGCTGCTGTTGGCCGTCAACGCGGATGATACAACACCGTTTGCTCGCGGTACGGTGGCCGGCGGCTGTGGGGTCCATCTCAACAAGGGGTCGGCGTGCACGCGGACCGGTGTGGCGCCGGCCGTCGGTCGTCGCGATCGCGGGCGCCGCGAGTCAGACACCCGCTGTCCGTCGGCGAACGAAACACACGGCGAGCACGGTGGCCGGCACGCTGGCTGGCACCCGGGTGTCGGACGACGGCGGCGGTCGTCTTTACGCTCGTGACGACGGCGGGACGGCTGCGTTGACAACGGCGGCGGCGGCAGACATCTGCGGCACGGCCAGCGCTAACGGCGGTACGGCTCTCGGACGAGTGACTGTCTCGCTGTGCACTCTGCGGAATGTCTTTGGCGCGCACTCCCACACTACTAAACACTCACACTCGCTCTCTGGCGCGCGCACACACACACACACTCACGTACACACGCACACGCACGCACACACACACACACAATCACGCAGCACACTCGCGCTGCCGCTACTGCCTGGTGCTGGTGCGATCGCCGGCTGGCTGCTCACGACGCCGCTGTGGTCCTGCCGCTGCTGACGATGCTGACGCGCGACCGATGGCGTGCAGTGACGGTGCGCGCCGCCAGTTTTCTCCCCGCGAACCAACGAGCGAAGCGGTCGCGCGCGCGCGCTCGCCTTTCGTAACCGCTCGCCCGCCGCTCCCCGGACCCCGCCGCGCCCCGCTGCCGTCCGACCGCCCGTTTTCGTCGTCTCGGCCCCGGACGGCGGCCCGTGCACCGCGTTCCGTGTTACCGCGCCCGCGGGACGACGACGACGACGCGCGCGCCGGCCATCCCCGCCGACGCACACTCCCGAAACACGTACACACACTGCCGAAACACGTACACGCGCACGCACGCACACTATCGCCGTATCCGCCGACTCGGCCCGCGGTCCCGCGTCGGCTGGATGCTGGCACGCTCGCGCCCCCGTTCGTCCCGACCCCGTAACGGTGCATGCGCCGAGGCCCCGGTCAGAACGGCACTCTCCGCGGCCGCGCCGTCCGCCGTCGTCACGTGGCGCGGGCGCGGCGGCGGGCCCGACGGCCAACGGTGCAGAGGGCAGGCGCATAAATATACCGTATACACGTTTACGGCGTTACGTAAACGATATTATTATATACACGCGGATACAGAGAGAGAGAGAGCGAGAGAGCGAGAGAGAGAGAGAGAGAGAGCGAGAGAGTGAGCGAGAGAGTGAGTAAGAGAGTGGGGGGGGGGAATTCATTTCCGCGGAATGGTTCGTGCGAGTCGGCGGGCGAGCGGCCGGTCCGTCGGAGGGACTTTGGCCGCGGCCACGGCTACGCGTCGTCGGACGGCGCGGCACGTCCGGAGTTCGGGCGACGCGTCCGGCCGGCCGGACCGGTTCGCCGCGGTCGCGACGGACGGACACGGGACCCGACCGCTGGCCGTTCCCAGTCCGCCGCGCCGTGGCCGTCGGCCGAGTCCGGGGCACGTTGGGTTACGGGTTCGGCCGGGACACTCTCGGTTAGGCCCTTTTACCCACCTCCCCTACCCCCCTATAAACCCCTCCGTTTCGCCATGTTTTTACTATCGGAAATATCGCTCCGGTCGAACGATGACTCGAGATCGCCACTGATGTAGAACGCGTTTTTTTTCTCGATATTTCATGTATTTTTCGTAATTATCGTTGGATAAAATCAAAAAAAAGACGAAAAATACGATTTTTTTTTCTTTTCAAATTACGATTTCATCGATTTAAATTTGTACGGCATACGTTTTCCACCTTAAATGCTGTTCCAACAGAAAAATAACGAAATTTTAATATTAAATTTTGTATGCAATTCATAAATAATACAGTCTAATTTACTAATTTCGCAACACCATTAACCGATCTCCGCCAATCCCGGAATCATTTGTTTTTAGTAACGGTTAATCGTTGCATATAGATATACATTGAATTTCCCCTCTACCTTCCAAACTTCTCACCCGAAACAATGGCCCAATCATCGTGCGAACTATGTCCGTCTTTTTTTTGTAGTCCAATAAAAAATATCCGTAGAGTCTCGGAATTTTGACAGAAAACTTATATTTGATTTTTCCAGACGCGTTATAATTTTTCCGAGGCGTTTGTGCTGTTTATTGACATTTGAATTTTGCGAGAATTTTAGGTAAACTTTATTTTGTACGTACACGGTATATTTAATTGCTCAACTGAACAGAAAGGATTGAGCATTTGATCGGAGTTTTTATTAGTAATATTCAGTGGACAAAAAAATAAAAAAAAGAGTTTAACGTAGTTTTTCTATCGTTTTTCTAACTACCGCGGACAGTTACGACTCGTAGTTAATGAAATTTCTACGCAAACGAATTTTCGTTTTAAATTATAATTTAAATAAAACATTTTGGTATTTTGTATAGTAAAAAAAAAAAAAAATCTACCGAACGTATAAGAACTCTAGTGATTATAACAAAACAACACACATAGAAACGTTGCGTTCGTCAGAACATCTGCGGACGATTTACACGATTTTTACGCACGTGGCAAAAAAAAAACCTCGGCGATTTCAAATAGCCAACACTACCCGCGACAATTCGAAAGATATTGCGCCGTTATTACAGCGTATTCGGTGAAAGTTTCGGGTATTTACCGGACTTTTACGGACCGAACGACAATAGCGAAAAAAAAAAAAAAACAAACCGAAATAGCCGAAATCGTTATTGTGCGCGAATGATCCCGTTTTCCCGATTTCTCGCCGTTGTCAAGGAAACTCATAACTACGCGAGTGGGGAAAAAAAATTTACTTAGCTAACGCGTCGCGCGGTCGAGACGTGATTCGCCGCCGGATGTCGACGGCCGGAGCGAAATTTTCGGCGGAAAAGTCGTCCGCCGACATATAAAAAAACAAAAAAATAACAAAAGAAGGGGAAAAAAACGGCGGCGCACGTCATTGTAATATAGCAAGGCCGTAACACATTGCTGGCAATGCTGGCAATCTAAAACCGGGACGTTTTTTTTTTTTTTTTCTCGTTTTCGCGGTCAAAGTTCAGCCGTAATAGTTTTTTTTTTTTCTTTTTTTCGGCCGGCGAAACATGAACGGTCGCCCCGGTATCCTGAGGGAAACCGCCGCCGCTCGGTTTTAGCCTATTAGGCTAACGTCGTCGTTTCCCCGGTTTTTTTTTTTATATTTTATTACGCGCTGCCCTCGTATCGCGTTAGTTTTCGATTTGTTTCCGCCGTCGCCGCGGTAATCTAATAAACGTCCCCGACGTCCCCGTCGAATTACGGCCGCGCCGAAACGCATTTCGGAAAAACTCGTTCCGCACTGCCGTGCACGGGCCACCGTGCCCGCGAGTCCACAAGCGCACACGCGGCCAGCGGCCGCCCGAAGTATTTTTACCTGGAATCACCGACAACGTTTTCCGACCGCCCGTCCAGCCAAAACCAATCCAAACGCGCCCCGACCCCACCACGAACGTATTGGAATTCCGTTAAGTTCCGCCGGATTTGTCGCGTTTTCGCACGTCTGAAATTCTCTGATGACTCGGGTTTCGTAAAAAAACTATAATCTCGTTTTTGTTATATTTCTGTACACCCACGACCGTCCACGCGGTTTTTTTTTTTTTTTTTGTTGCGAATAACGCGATTCGAATATACCTCCTTTAGAGCCCCCGCCACATAGACGGGGGGGGGGTATGCCGGGAGATGCTTAGCGCACCACCTACTTCCCCGGGTGATTTTTCTCGATGTATACTATCGCGGTTTGCCGGTTTGTTGAGATCACGAAAATTAAATATTTTACAATCTATATGTAGTAATTGTCCGTTTAAATCTGTTCGGAATGTATTTTAAATAGTTAATAAATTGTGTAAACGATCTATTATTGTATAGACCTGCACAGTAGTTTAATTAAATAAACAGTATAGCGTACGTAATATAAACATTTATACAATGTCGATTAGCGATTAACTCGTCTGTATACGAGTATAATTAATTGAAATGTTGATTTGTCATATAAATGTACGAATTTTAAATTATCGCAACGCAGTTTATTGCATTATTAGGGAGCCATGTGTACCGTACATCGTTCCAGTAGCCTCTAAATTCGCACCCGATCTGCGCTTATGCCCACGACGCAACCGTTTGGTTTGCGAAGACACCTCGCGATCGTCGGCTGGGCGAATAAAGACCTAAGGCGGCGCGTTTTTTTCCCCTTTCAAGCACCAATACATGAGGCCATAGGACAGACGGTCTCTCAAAATCTCGAAAAATAAATATAGGAGAAAAAAAAAAACCTAACATCTGGGCCGCTGTCGTAGGTGCGGAGAAGTCACGAAAATAGGATACAGAGAAGAATTTAGTTTATATAGTTACGTGGCGATATACAATTGCAAAAGAAAAACTGTTCGGAGCGAAGTGTACGTACGTACATTTTGCCGTATTTCCTATGTTTGTTGCCAGTTTTACCCAATTTTTGCGAAAGCCGCTTGAAAAATCAAAAAATCACTCTCTAAATGTACCACCCGTACAACATTTTCTTTAAAAAAAAGTACTACACTCGAAAATCGGATGAAATAATTTTGGTAGAAGTTATTTGCAGTTTAAAAAAAAAAAAAATAATTATATAATATGCTCATTCATTTTTAATTTTACAGTGAAATAACCGTTTTTACTATTTGCGATGAAATAAAAATTTTTCTTTTCAACGTACCAAGTTTTTTTTGGTGGTTGAAAGTTCATTTTTTTACATTTTCCACACGTATTTATCGTAATACCTACTTTTCCTATTAAATTTTAAAGTCATTATACTGTTTTGAACTCCACATAAATCCCGGTATTACAGGTATATAGTAAAAATATAAAAAAAATGTCCATACGGCGTTCAAAGCCAAGAATTTTGAATTTTATAAAGTTGTAGTCGGCGCGGAGCAAGAGCGACTAGTATCGGTCGAGTTAATATTCGAGATAAAACGAGCGGATGGATCTCAAAGGGCGAAAGATATTATCCGAACGGACCACGTGTGTATACGAGCAAATCAACGGTCTCGCGGTATCGACGCGACCGCGGTTATCAGCTCTTTGTGAGATATATATTATTTTAGTTGGAATTAAAAAGGCTACGGAATACCTTACACCGTACGAGATTTGATAGTAT